GACCCTACACCACTGAGGAAAGGAGTAGGGGCCAAGCAGCTGGGATCTTACCTGAATGTTCTCAATAATGCGGGATGGCGTCACAGACTTGGGGATCACGGCCAGGTTCCTCTGGATATGGAATCGGATCAGAACCTGTACAGAAATGAGACATCATGTTCCAACTGATCTACAGGTCACTTCCTTCTGTGGAAAGGACAAATGAAATACTTCTCCAGCTCACTGTGGCTTCAGTTATAATAGCTAGTGTTGTCTGGGCACCTAACAACTATGACAGACACTTCCAGTCTTCACCTTGATTAACTCCTTCAATCGTAGCAACAACCCTGTGATTTTCTTTGTTTAGGAATAAGAAAACTGGCTTGGGTGGGGTGTTCTGATACATGGTAGAGTTGGTGAACCCAGATCTTGAGACATCAAACCACGATTTGCTGTTAGATACTATCCTTGTTTCTGTGATGGTCCTTTTATTTCCTAGAAGCCTCAGCACACTTTCAAAGAACATGCTAGTACGCTTCATGTCCTGTTTTGTTTCCCTTCAAGGACTTAAATCAACATGGCATAAACGCAAGACTGGAAGAATGAATTGCTGAATTAAAAAAAGGAAACCAATAAACACTGTACCTGAGCTGCGGTCTTCTTGTGCTTTGCAGCAATTGCCTTAATCTTGGGATCCTCTAGGAGGGAAGGGTCACCTGGTTTGGCCCTAGAGACAGAAAGATGGCCAATGTGAATAATCGCCATGGTTACGATATGCAGGTGAGCAGCCCCCTGATGATGGGTCAAGGCTGCCATCTGCCAGACAGGCAGGAAGACCTGAAAGCTTTGGTTCCCGCTCATGGGTCAAAGCCTCTTGGGCTCTGAGCCTCAGCATTTTGCAAAGGCTTGTCCAGTCCACCCCCAGGTGGGTGAACTAGAATATTCTCAGAGGGTCAGTGATATCACCACTTGAACTTTCATCTTTTCCCACTGGAATGCCATTTGGCTATGCTAGACATTACCTTAGACACAATTTTCCTTCTGATTAATTATATAGTCTCATAAACACATTCATTAATTACAAGATAATCTTTTAAGAGTGTCAATAGAAAGACCCACCACTCAGAAGCCTCACCAAGGTCTATCTGGAGAGCCCAGGGGGCTGTAGGCTGTGACAGTGATGCCCTTGGAGTGACAGTACTGGATCAATTTCTCCTGGGTAAGGTATGGGTGACACTCAATCTGCAAAAGCAAACAATCTCCTTACCAGGGAAGTTGGCCTGCCTTTTGGGCTGCACCTCGGGGATTCAACAACACAAAAAGACCACCAAGCAAAGGCCAAACACCTCCCCCCTGATATACTCACTAAAGCAATCCTGAGATCAGTCTCACACCTCCCCAAAGCGTCTGATCACAGCCCACTGAAGGCAGACTGAACCCACGGCATTGGCATTGCCTCCAAACATTTGTGAATAAGCCAAGACCCTCAGCCTTTACCAAACAGAATTTACCTGGTTAGTCACTGGTTTGTATTTCAGTCCTGGTTTGTTCAAGAGCCTTTCGATCTGGAAGTGGTTGAAATTGGAGACACCAAGGGCTTTCACCAGCCCCTCATCCACCAGCTCCTCCATGACCTATGAGGAAAGGGACATCTCTTGTGCGCCCAGAGTGACGAGAGGGATCCTGGCCTGCCTCAGTCCTCTCTGGGGCAGGTGACATTGATAAAGTGTCCATTGTGGCAGGCTGGCTGCATCAGCGAAAGGAAACTTCAGTCTAGGACCAGGTGCCTGTAAATGATCAGTTCCAGCCCTACCGCCACTCCCCAGCCCAAAGGAATCTGGTAATAAAAGGGAAAGATTTTGTGCTCTTGCCTTACCCCTCCCTGGGGGAGCTGAGGAGCAAGGAAGGCAGAGAAGGAAGGGATTCACATGGACCAGCATCTTCAGGGGACACCTTACAGGTAGAGTTGAAAAGAAAAAAAAAAATACAACTTGGAGAAAAAGGGAAACACAACAGTAGGTGAGGAAGGAAAGAGCCAAAACTCAGAGGCAGGAGTGAGCCCTGTGTGTTCAGGGGACACTAACCTAGTGACTCACACCTTTGGCTTTGAAATCACTTGAGAGCTTCATAAAATACTGATGCCCAGCTTTGACCCCCAGAGTGCCTGGGGCAACAGAGTTTAGAACTGGTGAGATCCTAAAGTCCCTGAAACTCCCGAGTGGTCAGCTTCAATGTGCCTGCGTGATCCATCTCTACCTCTGACACTTTTCTCCTCTACCCCAACTTCATTCTGGTCAATGAAGTTCCTACTGAGCTTGCGTGGGTCCATCTAAACACCCACCACTTACATCGCAATCCTGCCTGATTCAAGTCACAGCCTCTGACCATGATCATTCAGCACTCTACATATCTCCAAAATGTTTCATTTCACAATTATTACTGCCTTCATTCAGAAGACATAGCACTGTGGAAATTGGTGTACATTTTACAGAGGACAGTAAGATATTTGTCATACACATATCATCATAAGGGTTAGGGCAAAACATTCTAGAACTAACATTAAAGGCATGCCAGTTTCCACATCTCACAATGACTAAGTCCTCATATTTAAGAAGCCATGTTTTACCATGATAATAGAAATTGCAGAGCCCTCCTGGAAAATTCAGTACAAAAGTGAGCATTGAAATCTTAGGTTATCTTGTGAATGTTTCCACAATCTCCATTCTCACCAATAACATATTTGTTGGTTTGACTCCATCAATCCCCAGATTTTTCCCCAACAGGAAGATTTTCATGGCAGGAAAAGAAATATATCAATCTTTTTCTATAGTTAAGTACCAGAATTTGATTTTTTATGGCTACAATTTTGTCACTCTCAAAGAGAAAGTAATATCTTTCCTGGATGAGTGAAACCTAATACATTTCTTTCAGTAAATATATCAAACAGGTATCTAAGGCTGTATATAGTTGGATAATAACTTGTATGGTTTTAAGAGGACATCAGCTTCAACATGTAGTTTGAACCCTCTTTCTTCTATAAGGGCTCAGCCAGCTCACAGCATGCATAATAATAGGTGCTGTCACATTTAACCCTGGATTATGCTTCAGTATATGAGGAGGAAACAGACATGGCTGATACATTGATGCCACCACATATTTTTCTTAGGAATATTTATTTACTTACATGTATAGTCTCTTGCTCAAGAGACATGATATTTCAGTAATTTACTTAGCCTGGCTCTTAACTGCATAAATCATTGTTTTCTTTTTATTACTAACTTTAACTTGTAGACTCAAACTGCAAGTGACAGATCCTTGCTGAGCAAATCTAATGGTGATATTGGAGATGGCTCTTTATTATGGCTGGTATTTCTGGGAGGGGGTTGTTTTTACACATAACCCAGAGACTTTTGAACAGTCTTTTAAAAATTTTCTGGATGAGGAGATAAGGAAAATGCTTGGGTGTGACTGTAAATTAATAAAAGCACTATGGAAAACAATATAGAGATTTCCAAGAAAACTAAAGGAACTTCCATGCAGACCCAGCAATCCCACTACTGGGTATGTCTCCATAGGAAAAGAAATCAGTGTATCAAAGGGAGACCTATACTTGCATGTTCACAGAAGCACTAAGCACAACAGCAAAGATATGGACGCAGCTGAAGTGTCCATACAGACAAACGGTTAGAGAAAATATGGTGTGTGTATACATACCACTAGAAGTTTATTTGGCCATAAGAAAGAACTAATCATGTCATTTGCAGCAGCATGGATGAAACTGGAGGACATTATGTCCAGTGAAATCAGCAAGGCACAGCCAGACAAATATTGTAAGTTGTCCCTTATGTATGGGAGCTCAGAAACTTGATCTCATGGAGACACAGAATAAAAGGATAGCTCCAACACACATTTTCTTTGTGACTTGAACCAGTCACCCACCTAGTCATGTCTCAATTGTTTGTAAATGTGAATAACACTGCCTCCTAGGGTTGGACAGTAATGTGGGCTCTGTGACTACATTCCCGGTGTGTCAGCTATTTTTATCTTTGCCATATCCTAAAAGTATGTATTATTAGTGTGAAATATAAGACTTCTGTATGATGAGGAAACTGAGCATTGTAGGAGTTAAATAACTTACCCTAGGTCACTCAGCTATTGCGTGCACATCCAGGACAAAATCCTTGTTACAAATGCCTCTGTCTAATTTGTGAAATCATGTGTGTCTCCCATAGTGATGCACAATGTATTTCCAGGCTTCTTTCAGAACTCAGCATTAGCCTTGCTATTTGAATAGTGTTAGATGGACCCCAAAGCTAAATGTCACAAGAAAGGAGTTAGAAGAACTAGATAATGAAAATGATGAGATTAGACAGCACTGGTTCTGTGGTCTCCTTCATGCCAGTATGGAGTCTCATGACTGACTCAAGGAAAGCTTTCTCCCCCGGCATGCTTAGAAGAAACTGGCACCCACCTCCCAGGCATCCATGAATGTTGTTTTACTTCCAACGACATTGCCTTTGTCATCTTTGGGGAGAATGTCCTTCCCAGGCTGTAATTGCAAAATAAGAAGGTTATTAGAATTTGCATCTGGACACTCGGTTCTGTTGAGGAGGTTTTCAGGATCCTGACTCACACGTGCATGCCATATTTCCAAGCTCTGGAGTATATACTTTACAAACGTGAGATGCAATAAAATCTCTATATGAATCTACTGTAGTATGTAAGCTTTTATATTTTAGGAACTGCTGAACTGATTTTAAAGTCCACTGTGAGTACCTTCCAGAAGCCACCATTATTACCACGGAGATTAACCTCATACGCTCAGACCCCAGTCACACTACCTGGAAAACACGAATTTTAGGCCCAGTAGATAAAGGTTAGATCTTAAAAGAGTGGTTTTCCATTCATGCAGTGTCTAGAAGCATGGAGTTTGGAGAGCTTGCCATGATCACTCTAGCTGCAAATTCATGTCCCTGCCATGCTTCAGAGGCAGAGTCTCAGGACATGACTTTAGTTTCTTTCATGAGGACTGTCTGATACCTGCCAGCAACACCATAGTTGGACTTTTCCCAAGATGCCACTCCCAGGGTGTGCTTGGTTAACAAGAGGGTTCAACCCTGAAATAGTATAATCCAAGAATATCCCAAGACTTCTCCTGGGAGGAGAA